CTGGCAGGTTATATGTGGTAAAATCTACTTTAGATATCCCTATTTCAGCTGCAAAGTAACAGAACATTACTGGAGTTATTCAGGCATCCCTTAACAAGGGGCTCTTGAGTCTAGTAAGAAAAACCTAGAAGCTTCCCTTCCCCTGATGATGGTGGGACAAATAAAAACACATGAGGTCACATGAAAAAATAGTGTTTTTCAGATAACCTGGTACTAATTTAAGCAGGTCTTTGCATATATTTTAAAAATTATTTCTCATTAATAAGTCACAAACCAACCTTTTGGTTTCCTGTGGAATTTTTTTCCTGCCATTTGTGATTGGGTTCTTTGTCTGTGGTAGGCAGGTCCTTCTTTTCAGGGGGGAAAATAGACGGAGACGAAGATAATGGAACAAACAAGGATTCTTTATTCTTTCTAACTTCTGGAACATCAACGGCAAACGAATCCAAACCATTCAGTTCAGGCAATAACCTGAAACTTTTAACCTTATTCAAATCCTTAGTCTTTTCCTCTTTCACTCCTTCTTCATCCCAGACGGATTTGACCCTGCTTTGTTCTGTGTTGGGAAACTCAAGGCTTCACATATAGTCCTGCAACAGGGATGCTTCATGTAATTCCCCTCTAGATAAGGTAGGTAGCTTGTGGTACCAATATAGGTCACCTTCTTCCCGATATCCTGCACACGTGGTACCGCTACCATACTCCATCCTGGTTTTCCCTTTATCTTTCTTTACTGAACTTGGGGCATCAGGTAACAGTCCTCCTCCTGTTCTGAGGTTGGGGAACTCCCGTACCAATTCAATAGATTTGTACTTTTGCAATTCTTTTCTCTCTGAGTACCCTTGTCTTCCTTTTCCTTGTCATCTTGTTCTCCTCCTCCTCCCCCTACTTCTTCCTCTTTTATCTCATCCCATCTCATTAAATCTAGCTCCTCCCACTTTCTATTGTCTGCTCTCTGCCAAGAATACTGCTACAGATTTACTCCTCCCCATTTCTTCCTCTTCTATTTTGATCAATTCTCCTACTGCACATCCAGCTATCATATCTTGTCTACTCTCCTCGGAGGGTGGCACACTATGCTGATCTCCTTCACACCATTGTAGGCCTCAAAATTCTATGTATACATGTATATAAATCTATTATGATTTATTGTATAAAGACTAAGACAGGTAGCTGAATAATCCTTAAAATAAGCAAACAGCAATATACATAATAAAAACCAGAAAAGCACACAGTAACATAATAAAAAATAGACAACATATACCTCTCAGAGGAAATTCAAGAATTGTCAGTGTCAACAGGATGAAGAATAACCCATATAGAAAAAAAAGAGGCAATCGAATCAACAGCAGACCAGGATCTCAAGCACTAGATGACACGGAATATATATGAAAGAGAGAGGTCTGATGAGATCTAGTTTTCAGTCAATTTTTATTTTTTTAAAAAAGGAACCTGAACACTGAAAAGGAGAAACGTTTATATTAAACAGTTTTCAAGCCACAATCTCATAATGCTCTCGGATGGATTGCACTATTCACCACGAAATAGTTAAACAGGTATAACGGTTAGACAAGTATTGCTTGTTTGGGTTGATTTGTGTGTGTTTGTTTATGTAGTAGTTATTTTTTTAGCCTTTGGGGCAAAATCAGCAGTAAAATACATGCCATGTGATTTTATGCCCAAAGCTACAGAATTAAATAAACTTTGATTTTTATATTTGCACCAAATGGCTGTGGTAATGTCTAAATCTAGAAACTCTAATATATAAAAATATAGTATGCATCCGTCCTAAACATGTACACAGTGCATTTTGCAACATTGGAAAGCCACATTAGTTCTGATATCTAAACTTATAACTGCAAAATTCCAACCCAAAGAGGCACAGGCCTTCCTACTAATTTTCGCATTAGCTGGGTCACATTCCTCAGGTGATCACCACTCAGATACCTTTTAATGCCTAAAGTCTTAGCCACCACTCCTTAATGCCACTAGATAAGGCATCAAACTACAATCACCAAATCCTCTTCCATGTATTTTGGGGTTTGTCCTTTCACACTGTCCCTGTCAGAGCCTCCTTCACACTAAGCTGGTATATTAGATAATTATTAATCTTAATAAAATTTAGTGTTCCTGTTGTGGTGTTTCATGTAACATGGATATATTTTTGTTCTTTCATAATCTGTATTCCTTGTTTTTAATTATACATAAAACAAATAATGATGAGAGACTGGTTTAAACGATCAAACAGGCTTTTTTATTTAGGGATCATAGGGGATAGGTATGAAGGGGAAGGTAGGTCCATGGATATTAATGATAAAAGTTAAAACAGCATGATCTATTTTCCCCCTCAATATTTAAAGTTAAAAATACTGTAATTACAGTGGACCCTCTACTTACGGAATTAATCCGTATTGGAGCGGAGACTGCAAGTCGAAAAGTCTGTAGGTCGAATCTCCATTGACCTACAATGCATTGAAAACCGATTAATTCCATAACTGGCAGTTTTTATTCTATTTTTGTTCCATTTTGGTTTTTTTCTGGTCTGTAAGTCGATTCTCCGGCTGCAAGTCGAATCTACATTTTGCAGCCAGAGAAGTCTGTAACTCAAAAAGTCTGTAAGTCGAGGGTCCACTGTACATTACAGAGTCTCAGTCTTTCTTACATGCAGACTTTAGCCATTATAGACAGACTTCTCTGCATAATCTCTACCACAAATTACCACTAAATAGGCTAACTACATTGACTGTTTAGCCTGCTGCTTGAAGCAGTGCAGGGGCAGGCTGGTATGCTCTTAAAGACAGTGATCAGCCTTTGTAAGCCCACATCAGCCCACCCCCAGTGAATTCCTACATGTACCCTTCTGGGGCTTCGACTTTTCATGTGCAGGTAAGATCTCTCTAGTTTGAATCAGTTACAGTGTGTGTGACTGCTGGAACTGATCCAAAGGAAACCTTCCTTTTTCAATTTGCCATATCATGAAGTGACTTAATAAGGAAGCTACTTCAAGATATTGGCAGGAGCTATTTTCATATAGTCAAGGCTGATTAAATCATTCTAATCAACCCTGACCCTTCCAAAGGGGCCCACACTATGTTACTCTCTGCTCCTAGCACAGCCATCCATTCAGCTCTCTTAAGTTTTCACTTTCAACTTAATTCTCATCGGACACCCAAACCACACCCCAACATTTCAATCAAGCTAATGAATCAATATTTAGCTACACAACCACCAATCACCCCAGCATTCCATCCCAAACTATCCACAACCCAGGCACCCAAAGCTGTTTATACACAAACCTGTAGTCATGCGTACATTTATACAGAGACTTGCAGTGGGCGGAATTGCCACAATCAATTCACAGCATCTTCCTCCCAGATACTCTTCAGTGTCATTGCCATTCTTTTGAACCATGAGCTACTTCAAAACTTTCAGGTTAAGAGTACCAATGTGGATTTACACCCTTTGCTGTAAACCATATAATTAGATCTTCATCCCATGCTAGTTTCCAGTACTGGTTGCTGCACCGTACTGGCTGTGCAGGGGATTCTTTTCTAAAGCTTTACTCCCAAGCATCTGAGTTGTTTACAAAATGGTGCTTTCCTGCTTCCCTTTTGAACCATTAATGTTGGCATCAGTTGTACAAGATAATTTTGGCATTAGAACTCAACTCTCATGTATATCTGGTAAGGTAATTAACTTGTGTACAGGTTTTTTTTATTCTGCCTCTCTGGAGAGAACCAGTACCTTTTTCGACATATTATATCAAAACCGCCAGTCCTCATTGTTTTGAGGTTGGCTTTTAACTGCAGAGTGAGGCATACATAAGGCATCCAGCCACACCTCAAACTAATCAACCCTTGTGGAGGTCTATGTGGGCTTGCTGTTTGGACTGTAATATCATGTAGACTATTCAGATTTGTTTTACATTCCAAGTGGCTATGGAAAAGTATCCGTGAGTATTCTGCTGGAACATTTACTGGCGGTCTCCGTCTTCGGAAAAAAAAAAACCGATGGAGCGAAGGAGTCGTAGGGTATCTGGAACACAGTTAATTCGAGCCCTGATCTTCTCGGTCTCAGCTCCTTCCGCCTTCCTCAGCATTTAAGAGAAGTCCTCCCGAGAAAGGCCAGTAATGTTAGCTAAAGCGGTGGGATGGAGTCAAAGGGCTGTAAGCCTCCTTGTTGCTGCCACTGGTGGAGAGACATGAACAGTGTGTCCTTTGCTATGCTGCCACTTCGTGAAAAGACAGGGCGAGAAGCTCACATCGTTGCCCCGGAGTTCTGTCAGGAAACATGGCGTTTGAGAATGAACACAATGAACTGCGTGGGCAGAAAGCGACGGGCGGGCGGGGAAAGGAGAAGCCTTCTTTAAGGGCTTATAAATATAGCAGCTGGCTTCCTCCCCCAAATTGCAAAATCCAAATTGCAACTGGGAGACCCCCCCTCGTTGCATTTTTTTTCGCTTCATCCAAGTCTCCCCCCAAAGGAAGCAACACACTGCTCACAGCAAGACCGAAGGGGAATTTCCCGCCCTTTCCCCTCCCCCGCTTTATGGTGGAAAGGAAGCGCGGAGAAAATGTCCACGCACTGCAGAGCAACGAAAGCTGTGGGGTTTTCAAAAAGCAACCAAGCCTGGACAGAAGGCCAAAGCGCTGAGAGGTTGCCAAGGGAGGGGGAACCAGGCGTCTGCCTGCGTGCGTGCCTGCCCGCCCCAGACCAAAAGAGGCAAATACTTGAAGCTCCGCCACGAACCAGGACAGCCAGCAGCTCCAGGCTCGTCAATCCCGCCAAGCAACCCTTCCTCTCCCTGTCAGCCTGCCAACTTCAACCATTACAGGCTCAGGTCCACCTCCACCCCTTTATCTACCTCCTTCAGAATCTCTCGCAGCCCCGCCCCTTCTGCGCGCGCAACTCTCATCCCTTTCCCCTCCTGCGCCCACCTTGTGTCACGTGGGCCGAGGAGAAACGGCAAAAAAACTTCTACCCGCATTATTTCCACCGCCCTATTTCCTATTTACCTTGTTTACGTCACTCGTACGCGCCGCCCCTTGCGTTCTGAGCCGTTTCCGGAAAGTGGAGGGAGGAGGAGCAGTCGTTCGAGAAAGGGAGAAAATGGCGTTATGGGTGCGAGAGTCGTTGGGTTTTGGAGTGCATTTGGTGCCTCTGCCAGGCGGAGACCGAACGGTTCGTGACTTGCTCCGTGGCCGTTGCCAGGCACAGGTAAATGTGTTCCTGTGGAAGATGTGAATGTCTAGGCTTTCCGTTGGCGCCTGGGTAAGGGGAGGAAGAGATGCGAGGAGGCTGTTTCTTGGGTCGTCTTCCTCTTTTTTTAAAAAAACAAACACATTAGTTAGTATTAGCACCAATGAGGCTTTATGCTTTCCCTTACACTATAAAAGTAGATTTGCAAATGTGATATTTTTAGTTATGTAAATATAATACTTACTAATAGGTGCCTATGTACATCATGAACCTAAAATCGAAGAGGACACTTCGTTAGTTTAGTAAAAGTAGATTTGCACATGTGATATTTTTAGTTATGTAAATATGATACTAATAGGTGCCTATGTACGTCATGAACATAAAATCGAAGAGGACACTTCGTTAGTTTATCCATCGTTATTTTTCCTTCGGTCCCATGAACTTAATAACTAATGAAGGTTAAAAACCTTTAACTTTATAATGGGAGAGTCAGAAAATCCCATCTAATTAATAATTTTCAGAAGAGTGAGGTGGCTAGTGACTCTTAAAAGAGTGAGCTGATTGATTTTCTTGGGAATGGTTATTGCTTTTTAAAAAGAAAACAGTATTGATAGCTTATATAGTAAATAAGGAGGGGTTACAAACAGTTTGTAAGAAGGTTGGTCCTGGTATAAGAAGGGGTGGGATGGTGGCTTTGATGTTCATAATAAATAATATGTCTTATAATTTATCACTAAGTAGGCTTTCTGTCTTGTCCTTTCTTAAAGACTTGAACAAGTATAAATAATTAAAATGCAGGATAAAACAGAGCCCTGTGTTATTTAAAGCAATTTGTGGTCTGCTTCAGGCCTGGCTATTGAATGCTAAACTAAAGCAGGAAGCTTTATAGCTCTTTCAGAATATCTATACATATGATTTGGAAACTTGCCAGTCTTCCAAAACACTTGGTCCCAAAAATGTCATCTGCACAGATTTTGGGGGATGGCAAGTATCTTCTCAAAACTCCAAAAGAGGTTAGATTTCAAACAAGCAAAACTTACCAAAATATTGGAAGAAACAGATCCTCTTATTGTTCCATGATTTCATATAGAATGCTTGGCCCAGAGGCTGTTTGTCCCTTACTTTCATATAAGCATTCCTATTTCCTACCATTACTATCGTATTAAGTTAACATAAAATATTCTGGTATCAAATAGTAACTCTTCAATATATGTTTCTGTTGATTTTTTCTTAGTTTGTGTTCCCTAAGTCTGCTTGCCTATGCCTGGAAATGTGTGTCTCTAATGCTGAAACAAACCCTAAATAATATTCCTCTTACATTTGAGAGGTCTGCCAATATATTAATTTGAATAATTCAGTTAGAAACTAATTCAGTTGCAATGCTGTAGAATAAAATATTAAAGCATTTCTAACCATAGTGTGTCTTTTTAACTTTGTTAACTTCCCACATTTATAGGGTCTTCCTGAAGATCATTTTTATATAAAGTGCAATGGTCGTTCTGTTAATTCTGAAGATCTGCTACAGGATGGAGCAATTTACAGCCTGGAACCAAGATTGTGTGGTGGAAAGGGAGGTTAGTGTGCTGCTGCTGCTGCTCAGTCTTAGAATTATACCTTAGGATGGAATGTGACTCAAAATAAGCGTAAAAGACAGGATTCTTCTTATTGTTGCAGTTTACTTGTAACTATAGGTTTGAGTGCTAGAATTTAGATTGTTCATTATCAGTGGAAGTTTCAGAGTACTATTCCTTGAAATGACATTTGGAGAGGGAAAATGATCCATTACAAGTAAATTCAGTTATCACCAAGTAACTGATTCCTTGGAAAAGACTAGTTGGCCATTTCATCTACAAAAACCAAAATGTTTTATTGTGTTGAATCATGCAAGTTCGTTTTCTGACTTTCTGTGCCAATTACTGCAAAAACAGAAGCTATTTTAATATGCTGTACCTAAAGATGTGATTAACATTTTAAGGGAAGTAAAATGATCATTTAACTGCCCTTAAAATGTTCTGTCTGTGGAAGGACAGATCCTGAAGCTGAGGCTCCAGTACTTTGGCCATCTCATGAGAAGAGAAGACTCCCTGGAAAAGACCCTGATGTAGGGAAACTGTGAAGGCAAGAGGGGAAGAGGACAACAGAGGACGAGATGTTTGGACAGTGTCAGTGAGGATACCAACATGAATTTCATCAAACTCCGTGAAGCAGTGGAAGACAGGAGGGCATGGCGTGCTCTCATCCATGGGGTCATGAAAAGTCGGACACGACTTAATGACTCAACAACAAATGATCATTTCTAAAAGACAAGCGCTTTTTTCTGAATCTTTTGGAAAAAATCTGACAGTTCACGTTGTCTCTCTAGCTGGTTTTTTGTTCGTAGCCTTCTCTTCATTCTGCAAATTCTGTTGGGAGAAGCTAACAACTGTTAGAGAACTTTTTTTCATGGTTCTTTTGACTGAATTTCATATGACTTTTGAAGTGTAATTAGTGAATGGATTCTTTATTTTTTAATGTCTGCATTAAAAATATTTTTAGTAATTGTCAGTGCTGGAAAAATCCTACTGGTTTGATTGTGCAGTTGTCTTGATTCATTTGTTGAATTCTAGCTTTAAGAAATTTGCAATAATTTATTTAACCCTTAAGAAGATCTCTTCAGGTCTCCTTAAGGGCTTAAAAGCCGAGTTCTTTAGCTTGAGCACTCATGTGTAGAGTTGCCTAAATTCTTATTTAGCTGAAGGATACTGATGGAATATACCATTTTTCTTAAACTTTGCAGTGTTTTACTCTCTGGGGTAATCTTGTATTTCTGCTGATGTATTTTTCTTTCTTCCTAGGTTTTGGATCTATGCTGCGAGCACTTGGTGCTCAAATTGAGAAAACAACCAACCGAGAAGCTTGCAGAGATCTCAGTGGAAGAAGGCTTCGAGATGTTAACCACGAAAAAGCGTGAGGCAATAGTTTATTTCACAAATAAAACATTGCCACACATTTTGCAGTCATTGTTGCAAAGAAGTTCTGGAAGACCAGAATTGGTTGATCTCATTGTTAAAGCACCTGGCTCTTGAGTAGCCCCTATTATATGTGTAGTTAGCTGGATAGCTCAGTGGGTTACTTATCTGGCTGTGGAGCCAGAGGTTGGGAGTTCAGTTCCCCACTGTGCCTCCTAGGGGAAAACCCAGCCTGTTTCGCCTTGGGCAGGCTGCACAGTCTTAGGATGACCCCACAAGAAGAGAATAGTAAACCACTTCTGAATATTCTCTACCTGGAAAACCCTGAAAAGGGCCACCATAAGTCAGAATTTCCTTGATGGCTCATCATCATCATTAAGTGCAGGAAGCAAGTGACACAGAAAAAAGTGAAAGAAATGTTTAGAATAAAATTGGTACATGTGAGATTGCAGTGTTTTCTAAGTGTCAACTTACACCTTTGTCTCTTCCAACTTTCCCTGTAATAAGTGTTTTGCTGGTTCTTCTCCCACTTCTTTGTCTAAATCAAGAGTCGCCCTTGCTAAACCTCACGTATAAGAAAGTCAGCTGAATGTCAATGCATTTATGTAGTGCTTTTATGATAGGTGTATGGAAGTAGGTGCATTTCTTCTCTTTTACAGAATGGCTGAGTGGGTGAAGCAGCAAGCAGAACGTGAAGCAGACAAGGAACAAAGACGTTTGGAAAGACTGAAGCGCAAACTTGTTGAGCCGAAACACTTTTTCACAAATCCAGACTATCAACAGCAATGTCATGAGATGGCGGAAAGGCTGGAGGATTCTGTCTTAAAAGGTAGCACTGAAAAGTATCATTTAATTGAAATTGTAGTTGGGGTCTTCATTTAGTTGTAATTATGTACCCTGTCTCTTTAGTGATGTGGATCATCTTAGAAAGATTTTAATTGAACATTTCCCCCCAAATTTTTTAAAAATTAATTTGCAGAGTGTAACTGACATCAGAATGTTAGCAGTTAGCATTGGAACTTGCTGCAGGAAACTTCTTTAAATATGGCATACAGTTACACCAATTGATTGAAATTGAGAGCCAGTATGGTGTAGTGGTTGGACTGGGGCTTGGGAGACTGACCTTCTTATCCCTAGCCATGAAAAAGTAGGCAATTTTCCATCCTATTGCACTAGCTGTCTCTCCTCTGACCCTCAGTCTGGAGTCAAATGCACATCAGAGGCCATTTTGCAATATGTTGTTGCCTGTAATCTTGAATAAAATGGGAAGAGCTGCAAACCATGGGCAAGAGCATTGCAGTTGAGATAAGAATCAGAAGTGCAACTTTAGATTGAGCTGTAGGTGACTGTGGTTCTCTGCAAGGATCTTGACACTAGCCACTGGTGTTGGATGTTGGGAGGTATAACTCCAAAATACTTAAAAGGATATAGTTGCCTGCCTCTGCCTTACTTTAATACTCAAGCTGTTTATGAATTGATTTCTAAATTTTGTTTAAATGTTGATAGTAAATTGCAGTGTATTTGTATTTTGTGTGTATTTTTTCCTTACTCTTCAGGCATGCAGGCTTCTTCTGGTCCAATGGTATCACCAATAAGCACTGAAAGTCGAAAGCGTCCAAATGAGTCTGTAAAGGAAGCAATGTCTGAGAAGAAAAGATGTTTTTGGTAAGTATTAGCATTTGATAGATGATATGACATGGTTGAGAAAAAGGATCAGTGTCTTTAAGAGTGGTCTTGTGGAGATTTTAAATGCAGTGATGTGGAACCCAAAAACTGCAGGCAGTCCTCACCAAATACAGGCACTCCTCACTTAACAACCTACCTGTTTAACTACCATTTGGATTTACAATGCTTTACGACCCTTATAAACTGTGCTTGTGTCTTCACTGCCCCTTCTCAACTGCACATGATTTATTACTTCCTTATACACTATTAATGCTCCTAACTTAACCTAAGAACAGAACTTGGTCGTTAAATGAGGAGTGACTGTAGAGATTTTCTCCCTCATGTGTAAACAGAAGGACTTCATTGGCTTCAAGTGTGTAAGTGTTTCATGGCAGCTTTCGACAGCAGTTCAATGTGGTGTGTTTAGTGTAGTTATATACTACCTTAGAAGCTGTGTTATTTAAAACATTTTCTGTGTATGTTTTTTTCAGCTAGTAAGCTGCAGCATTAGCAGTACTTCGTTCAAAAAACACTCTTGAATAGAGAGCACTTTGGAACTGGGTGGAGACAGGGTCTTGGCAATGTTGTGCCAAGTGCTGGATAGGGAGCAGAGAGTGGGGCAGTTGAGCTGTGCTGTCACAAATCAGGGCTCCCCATACCATGAAGTAGTTACAACTGTCTGCAATACCATCAGTGGAAAAATACAGATGGTGTTGATCTATTTTCACTGAAAACAAAGCTTAATTTCAGTCATGATCCAAAGAACTCTGGTGAGGCAGGCAAGTTCTTACTCATGGCTTCTTTGCTTTGATGTAATCGTTTGTGAAAATACGTGATTTTTTTCAAATTGAATTTATATTGATTGTGACAGGTTGGGTGTGGATGGGCTGGAAGAATCGGATAATTCACAAGGTAGTAGTGACAGCGAAGATGATGAATCTGCTAGTACATCAGGAAGTTGCACCACATCAGCTGGCAGCCAAATCAAAATGTGTGACAGAATAGAACTGTGTCGCAGCAGTTCAGAGGATTCCATGAGCTATACTTCAGTCCTCAGTACCCCTGAGAAGCCACAAGTACAAATGGAAGATAATAAAAAAGACCCAGCAGAGGATCGACCTCTTGATCCAGCTACAGCTAATGAGAAACATGAGGCTACAAATACTCCGAAGGAAGGAGAGCAGGCAAATTCGTCAAGTGCTCAGAAACCTGTGAACCAATTACCAGGCACTGTAAGTCAAATTATTTTTTACTCGGAAAAAGGGACCATTTTGCTTCCTGCGCCTACTGTACATCTTTATAAGAATGTATTCCTGGTTCATTGGGTCGCTTTCTTTTCAGTGATGCATTATTAAATTATATCAGGCTGCTTTTCACAATTCCAACCATTCAATTCCATTCAACTTCCATTTGTTTCTCCTCCAAACAACCTTCAGTGACCATTGAGCTCACTGTCATCCCTGAAGTCTTCTGGTGCCTTGCCCTTAAAAAAATATTTTGTGCTTCTGCAAACCTTGAGGTTTCCCCAAGCCTGTTGACAACTTTCCCTTATGCTTGGGGGGATGTCATTTGAGGTGCATATGTCAAAGCAGTCTGAGCCTCTGTACAGTGGATGTGGAGAGAATGATAGATTTTTTTCAGCATTAACCCCTTCCCTCACCCACACACATTAACTTAATTGTCTTTGTAGATCTTTTTCCCATGTACACAATTAAACGACTAAACAGCAATATCCTGTTCTTTAAGTGGCTTTTGATTTACAGTATAATGTGCAGCTGCCACTTTGCATTCATATTCATCAGATTAGTACAGTGGTGCCTTGCTTAACGGGTGCCCTGTTTAACGATGAAATTGCATAGCGATTAACTTTTTGCGATCACTTTGCGATGTTCCCTATGGGGGGAATTCGATTTGCGATGATCTGTACCCTGTTTCACTTACCGATCATCGCAAAGCGATGATTTTTTAACAGCTGATCGGTGGTTCCAAAATGGCCGCCGGGTAAAATAAATGGCTGCCCGCTGTTTTCTGGGATGGATTCCTCGCTTAGCGGGCAGCGAAAATGGCCGCCGTATGGAGGATTTTCGCTTAAAGATGAGTCTGAAGCCCATAGGAACGCATTGAAGGGGTTTCAATGCATTCCTATGGGCTTTTTAATATTGCTTTGCAGTATTTTTTGCTTTGCAGCGATGAAATTGCTTTGCAGCGATTTTTGCTGCACCGATTATCGTCGCTATGCAAGGCACCACTGTATTGTATAACTTGTTACACTATCGAATGAAGGGTGTTTATTTTTGCTATAATTTTTAATTCTACTTATGTGGAATAGGGAGAGGCTTAAAATATGAAGGGTAAACAACTTATGTTACACTATTGAATGAAGGGTGTTTATCCAACTGATTTTTGCTGTATTTTTTAATTCTACTTATGTGGAATAGGGTCTTGTTTGATGCATCAGTGATAGTTACTTCTAAAGGGAGAGGCTTAAAATATGAAGGGTAAACTTTTTCAAGGGGAGCTAATTATCATTCTCAAAAGTCTCCATTATCTCTGAAAAGTAGTTACAAGTGTGGGCACTTTGTGCTATTACATCCCCTTTTTTCTTGGTTTCACATCAAATATCTTGGAGAGTAAAATTTCTGGAAAGTGTTTACTGTAAGACGTGTCTTTCTATCATAGTGTGCATACCATGTTGATCTTAAAAGTAAAATGAGGGACTATGTGTTAGGGGATGTTTCCTGTTTCATGGAGGAGTACTTGGCCTATTGGCTAGTATACAGAGCAGAGATGAGATATTTGTATTTGTATCTGAAGTGATAGGAATATGAACACCACCACCACAGGTGGTCTGGCCTTTTTGACCCCCCCCGCCCAAGAATTGTCTGGTACAGTTACTCGTCCACATTGTGGCAATGTGGAAGGTGCCCAACCAGTGCTTCCCCACCTCCCTGTGCTCCAGTCCACTCAGCAGCTGAGCGGGGAGACCTCCTAACCAGAGTGATCAGCAGCACGGTATCTCACCTCCTAACCAGAGTGATCAGCAGCACGGGGAAGTGTAGAAGTGCCAGCCAGGCTACTTCAATGATTGGCACAACGTGGGCGATGACAGGCCCACGCTCCATGTTGAGAGTGGTAAGTGGACTGGCTAGTTCTAGGAGGTGGGCGATGACAGGCCCACGCTGCACGTTGCGAGTGGTAAGTGGACTGGCTAGTTCTAGGATGAGGGCTGAAAGGGCCTGGCCACCTTTGGTGGTGATATTTGTATTTGTATCGTTCCAGACACAAGTATGAATATCCCATCTCTAGTACAGAGTCTCTACAGAGCTCAGATTCAAGGTCTGACTGCAGTTGAAATGATTGTCTTGCCAGCTATATGTAACTATAGCGGCCTTACTGACACTGAGCTCAAGCCTTTATCTTGAATTGCATCTGCAGTTTCACTCATCCTGGCTAGTTCTAACTTACAGATTTTCTTAACTTAAAGAAATGAAATTAAAAAAAAAGATTTGGAGAATATTTTGAAAAACACTTGTTATTGCTCATATTTAAACAGCTGTCGTCATCCATAAAGTAAATGTGCAGTGTCAGGAAGAAGTAAGTAGTTCAGTTTTTGCTAGAAAAGTCAACACTCTAGGTGTCTATTTTACGAATTCCTGTTTCTTTCTTTTCAGAAGACTTCAACAGTAGATCTTCTGTCGTTCAGTTCTGCTGCTGAATTGGAAGCCCTGGGGCTGGACGAGCTCAAGTGTGAACTGATGGCTTTGGGACTGAAATGTGGGGGAACATTACAGGAAAGAGCAGCCCGGCTTTTCTCTGTGAGAGGCTTGTCTAGAGCTCAGATTGACCCTGCTTTGTTTGCCAAGATCCCAAAAGTGAAAAAGAAATAAAAAACAGTGGTGCAACATATTTTTAAATCTATACATTTTCATAATTCTTCACATTCTTCTGTTTTGTGCAGTAGTACCTTGGTTTGTGAAATGGATCTGTTCTACATGACATTACGTAGTATGGAAATTTCGCAAACCAAAAGGCCAAATGCGCTACGAAACAGGCAGCGCTATAGGCACAATGCACCCTGGGAAAACCCTTTTGTGGTGCGAAAAAAGAGAAAACAACGTAAACCGGAGCTTTATTTCTTATTATAGATTTTGGTTCATAAACTGAAAATTACATAAACTGAGGCGTTCGCAAACCGAGGTACTACTGTTTAACGATTTCCTTTAAAAACAAAAATGAATCCATGTGTTCTTTATGGTTCTTACAAGAATACCTTTTCTGAGTATTCTAAAGTGAGGGTCAGAAATTTCTGTCAGCAAACCTGTCATCCTTTCTGGGGGTTTTTGTGGAGGTTTCATCAGAAGACAGTAATAGGTTACTGCCAAAAGAGAGGAAGTGTTATGTTCAAGACTTGTTAGAAATAAGTAGCAGACTTTAAATGCTACAAAGTACAAATGCCCTGTGAGTGATTTGAGGCAGGGAGCCTTGTGATGGACTAGAAATGCTGTGTCTTAATATAGATCTTTGTTAAAAACAAACACAAGCAGTAGATCCTGTGTTAAATCTTTTCAGATTGTGATTTATGGTGTGAAATACAGATGAACAAACAAGAGGGGCTAGGCATCAGCCTGGGGCAGTGTGACCTTCAGGCAGGTTCTGTGGTATAGTTTGGCAGAAGCCTTTGTTTGAATCTTTTTTTTAACAAGCTGCAGCTGATATTTCAATTGCTGATGACTCAGAAACACCTAATTTTTAAATAAACATTGTGATTTCTACATTGAAATGTGCAAATTATTCCCTTTACAAATAATTGGTGGGCTGAATGATGTGTTCAGTCCTATACACAAGCAGGAATGTCTGAGCACAGGTATTAATGAACTGTGTTTCTCTGCCCTGTTCTTCCTACCATCACTTTTTAAACCCAGGATGATGCTACTAGAATATATGTGGGCATGCAATTTATTAAATAATTTACACTTAGCAATCTTTGCTTTACTGTACTGAAATTAAGGTGGTGTGTTGGAGGCTCCCAGCTACTCTGAGTAGCTTTATTAGTTAATTCTGTTCCTGCATAAATTTTCAGCAGAAATGTTACTGTGCTGGTGTGAGACACAGAGTGTAGGGACTCTCACTGGAATGTTGTCCTCCCTCAAAAGAGAGCAAGAGGCACAGACAGATCTGCCTACGCCACCCATCGAGACTAAACAGTCGGGAGTGGGAGCGGGAACTTTTGAAAATGACAGTGGCCACACAGACAGGTGGTGAATTGGCGAGAAGAGAGGAAAGGGAGGTCTGCTGTAGAGGCGGGAATGGGGACTGTAAAAGGACAGGTTCACTTGAGACCGGGGGGTTGGGAGATGGTATGGGTAGAAGACCCATGGACCGGTAAATGGGAAAAGGTGCAGGTTCCTCGAGAGGAAGCCAATTACCGGAGGAGGGATCTACCGCAACATCCTTCCTCTTAGGGAGAGTCTGAGGCTCAAGAGTGGTGCAGATGGCTCAGGGAGGAGAAAGAAGCGGTGTCCAGGGAAGAAAGAGAATGCCGGGCATGGCGTTTAGAGGAAGCCCAGAGGAGGGGGTACCTAACGGGCCCTGGACCCCTCTATAAGGAGAGGAAGATGTCTACAGGATGGAGGTATCAGACGATGAGACCACCCCGCTTCTGAACCCAGAGATAGAGGCTCATGATTTGGAGGACAGTAATCCGTTTTTGAGGGGACCTTGGGATGATTTGATTAATAACCCCTGTGTTAAAAGATATTTGGATGCCCTCGCCGGACCCGTTGGCGACGAGAGAGAAAGCTGAAGCTAAGGTTATACAACAAGATATATTGTTAAATGTTCCAATAAAGACTAGTTAGGATTTTATAACAGAAAAGTCTCCAGAGTCTCAGTCGAACACTGAGAAGGTAAAGCATGAACCCCCACAGTTGGACCGTGAATCAGCTTCTCCCAGCCATCGTATGGCTATATTGGCTATGGGATTCTCGGAGTTATATTTTACACTAAATTTCTGACCTCTCACTTGGTGTCCCCAATGCTGTGGTTTCCAGCACTCCCATCCCCAAGAAGGATCTGGTTTAGCAAGTTTGCTCTGTTGTACTTGTAGATCAGACCCTAGCTCTAGCAGCTGTGTATGATCTACACAGGTATCCATTCCTGATGTCAGCTTTAGCTCTACAATGAGCATTTGTTGAAATCTGCATTTAGAGTGGGTATAGTCTGCAGAATTTTGCAATGCTTTCACCTTCAATTAGCCAGTGTAATAATGTCCACTGAGAAATCTTTAGTATGTCTTTGTGAGCCAGAAGGTGAGTTTGGGTCACCGCTCGCTGGAGCACTGTCCATTCCCACAAAGGAGGCAGAGAGAGGAGGGGAATATGAACTCCAGATGACTCTGGAGAAAGCCCCAGAGGAGTCCCTCCAGAGGGCAGAAGAGGAACTATCTCAGATCTTGAGGGGGATGGGAATAAAGGAAGAGCAGTTTAAAAAAGTGGGAAAGGGAAGTAAATTCTTAGGCACCCTTCAGTCTCGAAAGACCACGAAAGACGTGCTCTGTATGAGTGTCCTCTCCAGAGCACGAAGCCTGGGTAGAATAATATGGAGGATAGGCTATTACCCAAGCAGCAAATCCCCCCTCTCCACATCGCTGAAATAGTCCAATGGAAAGGCAAGAGCCAATACAACTGGTTCCAGCAAAGTCGCAGGAGTTGGCATAACAACACGAACTGCCTCCGGGACTCCAGCTCCGGATTTTGCCTCGAGGTTTGCTCCTGAACCCTTTTCCATCAATGGATATAGCCACAAGCCAGTGGAGATTTAAAATCGGAGTTTTCCTTCTAGATGGGCTGCCTTCCAAGGCTGATGAGCCCCACTAGAGGGAGGAGATAGAAGCAGGGGAAAGAGAAGTAATGGAAAGGGGAAAGGCATTGCTTCCAGGTTGGGAATGGATCTGGTTGCAAGATCCTTGGACCCAGAAGTGGGAGTGATCGAAGGTACCTAGGGAGGAGACTGACCATAGGAGAAGGGCTGTGATCCACCCCCAGACAATCTTACTGGGGAGAAGCAGAAGCTAGGAGTAGAGGAAGAAATTAAGAGGAGAAAGGGAAAGTAGAACAAGAGAGGACTTTGACTTGTACATATGCTGCCTGCACTCTGCAAGAGTCTCCAGAGATTGGAGAGAGCCTGGGAGGTGCTGGAATCCCGGGCTGGTGTCCCAAGTGAGAGGATTTCCTTGGAGATGTGTCTGCGACCCTGCTGCCTATACAGATGGGAACAATGATGTAGGAATGATCACCAGTCGAGCTGCCAGGACCATGGAACTCTAGTTTTGGTAACCCCTTTATTTTAGAAAATTGGAAGCCCCTTCCCACTCTGTTGGAGTAAGGTGAAAGAGACTATGTTCCAGTTCATGATGATGGTTTATTTGCTAGTTCGAAAATAAATGTTCCATCGTTACCACTGCAAATTGTCGGGTGAAGTTATTGGGGAAAAGGAAGAATTGCATGATCATCTCATCGAACCATCACAGTCTTGCTGAATTAATCACTTGTGCAGATACGTCTGGGACAGGCAAGTCACATTTGGTGCATAACTTCCATATCAAATATGCATCTTTAATGTTATATACAAGTAGCATGTTGGAAAAGCCTTGTTTCCCTCTCTACACAGATGAGTGCTTTTGCTAGGTAGGCTGAACAAAAGTGACAGCATTGCTGCTTTCTTTGTGGTTCTTTTTAGTTCAGAGCTTTCCTTACCAAGAGAAGCAAAGTCTGATATTTTACGTTTCTGGCACTAGAGGTCCCAGAATTCCTTGGCCATGAAGGCCAGTGGCAGCAGGACGGGCTGAAAGATTCTGGAAGTTGCTGTATGTGAAAGGAACTTTTCTAAGATGGATAGAAGGTCTAAGGCCCGTTTCCAATACAATGGTGCCTCGCTTAACCTAGTTAAATGACGAATCCGCTTTACGATGAGGTTTTTACGATCACAATAGCATTCGCAAAACAATGTTTAGATAGGGAAATTTAACTTCCCAATGATCAGTTCCCTGCTTCAGGAACTGATTTTTCGCTAGACGATTCTAAAACAGTTGATCGGTGGCTCCGCTGTGCTTTAAGATGGATTCCTCGCTTTACAGGCACTGAAAATGGCCACCCCTATGGAGGATCTTCGCTGGACGCTGAGGTATTTAGCCCATTGGAATGCATTGAACTGGTTTTCAATGCATTTCAATGGGCTTTTTTGTTTCGCTTGATGAGGATTTCGCTTAACAACTATTTCAACGGAACAAATTATCCTCGTCAAGCGAAGCACCACTGTAATAAGGAGGCCATTGTCCCTGCACTCCATGGTTGCTGCTTTTATGCATGCGGTTACTCAGATCTGCTAGATGCATAAGCCTCAAGTAGTATTCTCTTCCTCCCTACTGTTGCTTCCACTATTCACTGCCATAATTGGAGGGCCTTAACTTCCTTTGTGGTAACCGTCTTTATAGTATGTTTTGTTGGTTTATTTTATGCTGTGAACTGTCCAGAGTGGCCCTGGACAGTATATAAGTTGAATAAATAATAAAGATGATTCAAGAGAATAATGAAGAGATCAACACACAACATCCTCAACAGATGGCTGTCCAGGGGAAAAAAGGAACCCAGCTTTTCCCACCTCCTCAACCCAGTTAATTGCTCCCTTTGTCAAAAAGCTCTTACTGCAAAGTTTCTTCTAATGATGGAAACAAATCTCGGTTACTGCTCCCAGGCTGAAAGCTTTCTTCCAAGGGAAACTGGTCCTAGTCCTATTACCCTTCTTGCCTATAGACACCATGTTATTGTGGTTGGCCTTTGGAAGCTAAACTGGATTGCTGTGAAAAGGGGTTTTCATCTGTTGGGTTGATGCCCTTATTTAAAGAAAGTTAGTTTGTTTTAACTGTACAGTATTTAGAGTTGATAGTTTTTCTTCCACAAAAGCTCGCACTGAAATAAATCTGTTAAGTCTATTTTCCTTTTTTCCTTTCCTTTTTAATTTTGCCAACATTTTGAGATGATTAATACAGCTACTTCGCAATTTGTTTTTACTGTTTTCTGTTTTTAAATTTGTGTTCCCTTTTTAAAATGGCCACTGCGAATCTCATTTTTGGAAAGGAAGGGAATGAATCTAATAAATGAAGGAAATCTAATTATTCTGTGATTCTTTCTTTCTTTCTTTCTTTCTTTCTTTCTTTCTTTCTTTCTTTCTTTCTTTCTTTCTTTCTTTCTTTCTTTCTTTCTTTCTTTCCTTCTTTCTTTCTTTCTTTCTTTCTTTCTTTCTTTTTTCTTTTTTTTTTAGGTTTAGTTCCACTGGCAAGCAAGAAAATAGTGAGGGTTCATCCTTTTGTATGTGATTAATCTGTCCAGCTACACAAAAGGTGCTATCAAGTGTGGTCTTCTATTTTACAAGAGGAAAAATGAAGCTATATACTAGAATGATGTGTCGCAGAATAATGCAGAAATCAAAACTCATTGTAAAACAGTTGACATGAATTAGTATTATATTCTCAATAAATAAGACTAACCAACTTTGGTTTTCAGCTCCACCATTATCCATAGATCTTAGTTGACTTTCAGATGTGATGGCAGCATTCTGCCACTAGAAGTCGCTATGCACCAACTAAAAACAGCAAAGCTGGTAGACGTGGTGTAATTATTGAGCTGTGAGTGTGAAGATTATTCCCAGTGGTCAAATTACTGTATGTTTAATGTGAACCAACAGGTCTTTCTAGATATATGTTGTCTTTTTGAAAGGAAATGT